CCGCCTCGCTGGCGGGGAGCTGGCATGGCCTGTCACGACTTCCAGCGTTGGGCGTGAGTACCCCGAAACCTGACACCCACACCCTACACCCTACACCCCAAACCCTAAACCCCAAACCTACACCCTAAACCCCAAACCCGAAGCCCTGCACGTTAAGCCCAAAGCCCTGAACCCTAAACCTTAAACCTTACACCCTAGACCCTAAACCATCCCATGAGGACCTTCGGGCTCCGGGCTGGAGACTTTGTCGGTTGAAAGGTCGTCCGTTTAAAGGTTTAGGGTTTAAGGGTTAGGGCCTAGAGTTTAACGTTTAGGTTTTAAGGTTTTGGGTTTTTGTTTAGGGTTTAAGGCTTAGGCTTTGGGGTTTAATAATTGGGTAAGGTTTTGGGGTTGCTTCTCCTAGATCATAATTCGCCTCGGCCCCCGGCCGAAGCGGTCGGAGGTTCCTATTCGGACTTCCTCTATTCCCCACCTCTTTTTCCCCTCCCCAGTGACCCCCACCCTCCAAAATGGGAAAATGAGCCCCAGGGTGTTGCGGTGAAATCTCGCCTCCTCCAATGGATTTGGGCTCTCTGTAAGAAGTAGAAAGAAGTAAAAAGTCTCACCCACCGCCCCTCAGCCACACGCTCCGCCCGGCTCCCCCACCCGCCCCCCCTCCCTTGCCTCCCTTGTCTCCTCCCCTTCCCGGTCCTCGTCCGCTCCGCCAAAGGCGCCCAGCAGTTCGTTGGCCCTCTCTGTTTGCGGCCGGGCCGAGGCGGACGACGCGAAGCGTTTAAAATAACGAACCTTCAGGAATCGTGCTGGTAATTATTTAGGCATCTGCTGCTATTGCTGGTTTCGCCGGGTCTTCAAGGGATTGGCCCTCAAACCCAACACTCTAAACCCGTCGAGCGTAGCTCTCGAACCCTGTTTCGGGATGGTTCATGTTAGCTGATGCTGCGCAGAGTTTTCTGTTTAGAGTTCACTGAGTTCACTATACATCCCGAGACCCTCAACCCCAAACAGGGTTTAGGGCTTAAGGGAATTAGGGCTTAAGAGCTTCAGGGTTTAAGGATTTAAGTTTAAGGGTTTAGGGAATTCCCAACACTAGCCGCTGAACCCTGCTGCTGTGTCTGGCTCTGTTCCACGGCACACACGACTTTGTTTTGGCCCACAGCGCCCCAGGATCTTTGCTAGGTTCTGATTGTGCCCTAGGCCCCAGACCCACCTCCCGATAAACTTCAGAACCCCTAAAACCCTAAACCTTAACCCTCCTCCTAGATCTTAAACCCTAAACCCCAATTAAACCCTAAACCGTGGGTTTCAAGGGGGCATCGACTAAAGCCTCCCTTAAATGGAGACCCTTGACCTACTCCCTACACGCTGAACTGACCCTAAACCTCCCAAACCAAAACCCTAAACGTCTCACCGATAACCCGAAGCCCGAGATCCTAAGCGCTTGACGTTTTTAATCCTTGTATAAGCCCACATCTCAAACACTTAACCCCTAACCCTAAGCCCTACATCCTGAACGCGTAATTAACCGTTGACCAGAAGACCGAAACCGTAAAAGCCAGCTCAAAAAGCTGTCTAACCTTTAGAATTAAGGATTCCCTGCAGAACCTGCTTGACGGACTTAGATCCTATACCCTATAATTTATATGGGCCATAACCCACTATTCTGTGGGTTGGGGTTACACGTAGGCTTTATATTGCAGAGTGCATGCAACGAAAGATGTGGTGGATTGGTTGCTATATGGAGCCCGCTGCCCGAAATCCCAAATGTGCAGAGTGCAAATCATCATCGATCTCTACCGTCATAGGGGCTGTGGGAGGGATGTTCCAAATCATACGGCCTATATGCTGAAACAACCTAAACCCGAGACCCCCCAAACGGCTGCACACTACAACCCGTGCTACCGTCAGAACCAGAAACCCAGCCTTCAAGAAATCTGGGATAGCCTCCGACCCACCTGCGAGAATCGATCTCGGGTCTTAGGGTTTTAGGCCTTAGGGTTTCGAGTTTAGGGGTGCAGGGGTTTACGCTTCAGGGTTCAGTCTGTTCTGGTGCGTTCAGGCTGAAGACCCCTGTGTAGTCCGTAAACACTCAAACTGCGAGAGCACCCCAGAGATCTTCATCTCTGTCTCTCTCTTCTTCAACAACCAGGCCCAAAAAAGTTCAAACATTTTAGGATAGACTTAACATATAAAGCCAAAAAGTTTAAAGTTCTCCCATTGGCTATCTAAGGTCTTGCAGGTGGGACCACAGCTGGGTCTTCATCTGAGATACTAGACTTAGTTGCTGAGTTCAGAAGCCCCAAACCCTGCAAACTTTCAGACCTATCGTGGATATTAAGTGCACTCACTCCGCTACGAAGTAGAGCTACTGGGACTCGAGTAACGATTCAGCACCGAAGAATCAACAAAACTGCCTTGAACCCAGCCCACAAGCCCCTAAACACTAAACCCTAGTCTATCGGGGACTTAACAACCCGCCGAGACTTCGGTGTCTAGACGGCCCTAGACCCTAGTACATGTTTCTTAGATTCTTGCATCTATCATACCGCAATCCCGTGTCACAGAACATTTGGGCCAGTCCACCTCCTCAAAAAAAGCGCGAACATATCAGTTCCACTTGCAGCTGTTCGAATCCTCCCTGTCGTCGCTGGCAGTGTCAGCAGGCTTGCACTTGTGAACTCTGCAAACGCAAGCATGGCACAACGAGAGCTTGTTGTCGGGCTTGAGCTTGAGTTTGTAGTGTTTGGCAACCCTGTCACGAAGAGCTTGCCGCTTCGTTCGCAGCTTCGTGAATAGCTGAAGGCACGTCCGGCACTTTCTGCGGCGAATCAAGGTTTCTGAGGTAAATACCCCTGCAACAATCCTCTAGCCTACGGGCGTAAACAAACCCAAGAGAAACCCTGCACCCTGAACCCGCCCCTTCCGTACAGAACCCTTCCTTATCTAGAATCCTAGCAAAACCTTAAATCACCCTCAGCAGCTCTGAAAGCCCTCCGAAAGAGGCTCGAGTGGTTAGAATAGGGGTCTGGGGTTTTAGCATACCACACGGGCACGTGCAACACGGAACCCTCAGCAATGATATCGTGAAGTCTGCAGGCCCGCTTAGGAAGGCCTGAAACGGACGTCGAAGCCCATGTGGGTTGGGCACCAATAGAAAGCTAGCAGATGGATTTCTGAATAAGTAAGGAACCATCTACCAGCTTGGGTTTTTGAATGAAGGAAATGAAACGTCTAGCAGCTAGGTTTCTGAATGAAGGAAATATCCAAGAAAACAAGCTTCATCTAGCTTCCGTGTTCGTCTGCCGGCGCTGAAGAAGAGAGCTTGCACCGGAATAGCAAAGAGTTCCTGTGACCCTATACCTCTGGTCTGAAACCTATAAACCCTCTCTAAATCCTAAACCTATAAAACCCTACAAACCCTCTGAACCGTAAACCTATAAAACCCCATAGACCCTCTGAACCCTAAACCTATAAACAAACCCTCTATATAGATCCTAAACCTACAAACCCTATAGACCCTCTAAACCCTAAACCTACAAACCCTATAAACCCTAAACCTACAAGCCCTAAAAGCCCTATCAGTGCCGGGGCGCCAGTCCAGGCGCGCGCCGCCCTTGGGGCCGGCCGATCCCAGAGAAAGCCGAGGCTTCCAGGCATGGCTACGCCCGGAACTTTTTAGGGTTTAGGGTTTAGGGGTTCAGGGTTTAGGGTTTAGGGTTTAGGGGTTCAGGGTTTTGGGGTTTGGAGTTTAGGGTTTTAGGTGTAGGGTTTGAGGTTTTAGGGGTTAGGGTTTAGGGTGTAGGGTAGTTCAGTGGTTGATGGAAATGGAAGTCTGTGGGCCAGGATCGAGGGCGGTAGTGGTTTTGGGGTTTAGGGTTTAGGGTTTAGGGTTTAGGGTTTAGGGTTTAGGGGTTTAGGGGTTTAGGGGTTTTAGGGGTTTAGTGCTTCGGGGTTTAGGGTTTAGGGTTCGGGTTTAGGGGCTTAGGGTTCCATGTTTAGTCTGCTTAAGGTTTAGCGTACAGGCTGTAGGGTTGCACAAAACAGCTTGTGTCCTCAGCCCATTGCACAACACCGTCTGTGCTTTCGCACAAGCCGTTTGAACCATCGCGCATTTCCAGTGACAATTCTGCGAGGTTAACGAGGGATCAAGGAAATAATGTAGGGGCCTCCATAATTAGAGTAGGGTTTTGGGGTATACTATATACTATACTTATTATAAGGAACCCCCAAAATAGTATATACTATACTGTACTTAGGATAAGGAGCCCCCAAAATAGAATGTGTAATTATTAAGGCCCCTAAACCCTAAACCCTTGAACCCCAAAACCCTACACCTTAAACCTTCAATATTGGTAATCATTTAGCGCGATGTAGGATTTAGGGTTTAGGGTTTAGGGTTTAGAGCTTACGTTTAGGGTTTAGGGTTTAGGGCTTAGGGTTCAGAGTTCAGGGTTTAGGGTTTAGAGTTTAGGGTTTAGGGTTTAGGGAATCAGAAACACCAAACCCTACAATAATGCAGAGAGCTAGACACAACATATTGCGGCCTTCGGGAGATTGCGATGGTTTGGGGGCTTAGGAACCCAACGAAGCCCGACCTTGCTTGAACGCTTCTTCCTGACCCTAAAACTTCAACCCTAACCCCAAGCCCGATGCCCTCAACCAAGCATAAACCCTCAACCCTCAAACCTACTTTGGAGGCCTTAACAAGTAGAATAGGGGTTTGGGGCATTTTGTACTACAATTCTAACAAGGAACCCCCAAAATAGAATAGGTAATTATTTAGGCTCCTATACGTGTACCCTAGACCGCCTAGACTTGATACCCTATATACTCTCAACCCATTACGAACAACCCCTCGACTCTAAACCAACATCCCAAAACCCCAAAGCCCAAAGTTCTAATCCCAAAGCCCTCAACCCTCAACCCTCCTCAAACCCTAAGCCCAAAAACCTAATATAAACCCTAGCCTGCACTCTTTCGCGGGACACCTCCGAGTCTCGAACGGCCTTCTGTGCACTTCGCCAGCGGATGAAGTTGTTCAGGTTCCTTCCACACAGGGTTTAGGGTTTAGGGTTTAGGGTTTAGGGATGTCAGGGTAGAGGGATTGAAAAGGTTTGGAGGTTAAAAGGTTTGGGGTATAGGGGCTCAGGGTTTAGGGTTTTATGGTTCGGGGTTGAGGGGCGAGAGCTTAAGCTAGATACGGATGCAGGTAATGCACCCGAGAGTCTGACACTGAAGAGCTCACGGGGTGTAGGTACGGCATTGGGGCAAGATCATACAGGAAATATCTGCGATTAAACCCTAACCCCGTCTTAGGGAGGGTTCCCGACCTGGCTGAAGCCTAAATGGTTGAAGGTGCAGTACAGTAACCCCGGTGCATACACTGCTTCCTGAGACACCGGCCACCTTCCTACCTTGGAGGTCTTGGTCCCTGTGGCGACCGGTCACGGTTTAGGGTTTTTTTGAAGTTGTATAAGGTTTCGGTCCGGAGTTTTGAGCGAAAGTTGTGCCTTTTGCTTTTGATTTTGGGATTGGTCTGTGCTGGGGCTGGGCTGGCTTTTGGGCTTGCCTGGGAGGGCTGGGCTGGGCTGGGCCGGCTGTACCTGGCTCTTGTCATGCTGGTGCTTGCCGTTGCTGTTTGTGGGTGCGTTTGCTGTTTGTGATGTTGCTTGTACTGTGCTCCTTCACTCAAACCTGTTTTCACCAGCAACGCCATGCAGTTCGAAGCAGGAGTTGCGCCGTCATGGTATAACATTCCTATTTGTCCTGGTCTTTATGGCTTAGTTTAGGGTTTAAGAGTCTAGGTTTGCGAGGTTTGGGGTTTAGGGTTTAAGGTTCTGTGTGATTTCTGAGTTCTGAGACATGCTAGCCTTGATAATTTCAGCTTTCAGCCCGGCATCAAGAGTTTGAAAAGGTGCCCTGTTGATTTGCCACCCTGGATAAACCCCATACAACGAACAGGGTTTAGGGTTTAGGGTTTCGGGTTCTCCGTCTAAAGCCGCAGCGGTCCTCTGCACACGCTGTGCCTCTGGATGCTCCTCTCAAGGCCACAAACCCAGGATACTTCGCAAGGAAGGTGGTATGCAGTGCGGGTTTGGGGGTTAAAGTTCAGGGTTTTACGGTGCAGCGACTTTTATGCAGGCGCGGCGTGTGCGCTACTCCCTCCTTTGAGACGGGCATGGACAGCACGAGGCCCTCGGGCTCTTCTTAGCGAGTCGGCCGTTCCACTCAAGAGACGGCTCCGCAAAGGCGGAGCCTGGTGCTTCGGAGGAGCAGCTTGAGGCTAAGACATGCGTGAGGTAGTGGTGCGACTCACTGAGCGACCATCATCGGGCATCTAAGCGCGATGACCAAGGCTACGGCTGCTTGCTGCAGAGCAACGTTATGCTCTCTTCTTCAACAACCAGGCGCAAAAAAGTCCAAACTTTTTAGGATAGACCTAATACATAAGGCCAAAAAGTTTAAAGTTCACCCATTGGCACTCTAAGTATGGGGCCATACCGGACATAAAGAAGGTCGTCATGGCCTCAAGCTCCCTGTGATGCAGCTCCTCTCGGAGTGCCTCGTCTCCTTTTCTGCGCTGTAAGGTGGAGAGCTCCCGCAAGTCTTTCCTTGCAACGGAAAGATCTTTGCGAAGGGGACCAGTACACAGCGAGCCGTTTTGCAATTGCAGCTGTGCGCAGACAACTGCGCCCTGGAAGCCAGGTGCCTTGCCGAGCACGAGTCCGTCAGGAAGGGCCTTTATACCCCATGCTTTCTGCAAGAAGCGTTCTCGCTGCGTGCAGAGGCGCTGCAGCGTGTTCTTAACCTCTCTTCTTCAACAACCAGGCCCACAAAAGTTCAAACTTTTTAGGATAGACTTAAAATATAAAGCCAAAAAGTTCAAAGTTCTCCCATTGGCTATCTAAGTAACTTCCTGACACAGAAGTAGCAGCTTCTGGGCCCTGGCAGTGGCTTGGCGCTGCAGTGTTGCCTCGGCTCTCTCTTCCCTCGCTCGTCGTCGCGCTTCTCTCAAGCAGTTCCTCTCCTCGGCCCTTAGCTGCTTCTGCTGCCTTCTTTCTTGTCGGCGCTGCTGCTCCTGCTCCTTTTCTTGTCGGTGCCTCTCGAGGCTTTTGGCCTCGGACTCCCAGATACGAACTAGCTCCTCCAGATCAAGATTCCGATTGCTGTTGCTCTTTCGGCGGCAGCGGAAGCGAAGACGAATAGCAGGAGACTGGGACTTCGCCCTGGTCGAGTGCATCTCAGTGACTGCAAGGCGGAGAGCCTCTGCCAAGCCACAGCCAGATTCCAGGTGCTCGTAAAAACGTTGTCGCATTCGAACCATGCTAATGTGCATATCAATGATCTTGTCCAGGTCTACACTGCGTTGTGAGTATGCGCCAACTCCCTTGAAGCCCACACTGGCTGTGTAACAGCTGTCAGACTTGCTCCTCCAGATTCCTCGAAGGGGTTTCCTCGCTTCGCCTTGCTGATCGCCGTCCCTGTCTCCTTCGTTCGCTTCTTCATCTGTAGCATCGTCTTCGGCGACGGCGCAGATGGCCAAGAGAGGCTCGGGCGGCTCCGGTCCCTCGGAAAGCTCCTCGGAGCTGCACCCACTCGGAACGACCTCAGCCAGCGTGCTCTGGTCGCAGGACTCGAGGAACTGCAAGAGGCGTCGCAGAACTTCCTCGGACATACACTTCACGCGGGCACGCAGAGCCTCCTGACTCAGTGCGAGTAGCTCTCGCACCCAGACCGCATGGTCCTTGCGCTCTTCTGATGGCTGCTCAGTACTCCCACTGGGCTTCTCAGATGGCCCTGCGCCAGGAGTCGCACGAGTCGCGTGGCCGTCCTTGCCCTTTGCTTTCTTCGGTGCCCTTCGTGCGGCCGCTCCGGAAGCTCTCTTTGCAGGCGGAGACGCCACAGGCACCTCTTTGGCGCTGTGGCTGCTTGGCCCTGCCGGGTCTGTGTCAACCCGGCATTTCTTGGGAGCGGCGCGCAGTGCATGCGCCAGCTGCAGGTCGTAGGCCGCGCGGCGCACGGGATCTGTGAGAGTCTCAAAAGCTGCCACCACCAGCCTGAAGGCTTCCGGCGTGCCCCCCTTGTCTGGGTGGGTGGCCAGCGCCTGCCGCCGATAGGCAGAGCGCAGCTCCGCTTCCGCTGCAGAGCTGCTCACATTCAAGGCCTCGTAAAAAGATGGCATGGCCTAGGTGCCATGAAGGTGCAGCCTCCATCAGTCTAAGTGGACACTGCTTGGAGTTTGGACTTTGGGCTATGAGGACTTGTGCTTGGAAAAAACCGCGTGTGATGACGGGCTTGTGCGGTAGGAAGTCGCCTTGCACACTGCTGACATCCCAAATCCTGAGCCCTTTAGGGTCTAGGGTTACCTCTAAACCCTAAACCCTAAACCCTAAACCCTAAACCCCTAAACCCTAAACCCGTAAACTCTAAACCCCTAAACCCTAAACCCCAGGCTCCTTCCCAAAAGCCGCAGCATAGCCCACGGCAGCTCGCCGGAGAAGGGCCTCGAGCCGTCTGGGTTTGCACTTTAGGGGTTCAGGGATTTGGGTTTAGGGTTTAGGGTTTAGGGTTTAGGGTTTAGGGTTTAGGGTTTTGGGGCTTAGGGGTTCAGGGCTGTGAATTTCATATTGGTGTATCTTACATTGTATTATACTACATTCTGTTCTATATATATATATATATACAGATATATTGTCTTATACTATGCTATCTCATCTTATCTTTGATAATTAACAAAGGGTATTACATTACCTTACGTTGCATTAGGTTTACCGTACTATGCCATATCATATTCTATGATATTGTACTACGTTACATTAAACTACGTTAGTATATTATAGTATATTATATTGTATTGTATTGTCTTATATTTTTTATTTTCTTATATTGCATTTTCTTCTGTTATACTATAAGTATAAGAGTAGTCCTGGGTCACAGAATCCGAAGCAGGGAAGCCTACTGGCCTCAGCATCAAGCCCATGAAGCCGAACAAACACCGAAGGGTCTAGGGGTTGGGGTTTCAGAGCTGTTCAGGGTTTAGGGTTTAGGGTTTAGGGTTCAGGGTTTTGGGGTTAGGCTTTAGGGGTTGTTGAGGGTTTAGGGTTCAGTGTTTCGGGGTTAGGCTTTGGGGGTTGTTGAGGGTTTAGGGTTTAGGGTTTAGGGTTTAGGGGTTGGGTTGTTGAGGGTTTAGGGTTTGGGTTTAGGAAGAGTTCCTGGAACCTATAGACTCTATAGACGCGACCTTTCCTTCGGACTCCATATTATGATTTCCCTATTAAAGTCCTTTTATTAAACTAAGAAACTACCTGTTCTTAGTACTTAGGGTTCCGTATTATGATTTCCCTATAAGAGTCCTTAACAAAAAACAACCTGCAAAAAAGACACAGTTACCCTTTAAAGGAACCCTTCAAGGGCAGCCTCAGCCTCGGGTAGCACAGCGCGGTGGCGCTCCTTCGGAAGCTGCTTCAGCAGCACGGCGAGGTTCCTGACCTGGTTGAGAGGGGTTCGTCGTAGTGGAGCGGTGAGTTAGAGTGACTAGTAGTAGTAGTACTACTAGTAGCAGTAGTAGTAGTAGTAGCAGTAGTAGTAGTAGTAGTAGTAGTAGTAGTGGTAGTACTAATAGCAGTAGTAGTAGTAGTAGTAGCAGCAGCAGTAGTAGCAGCAGTAGTATTAGCAGTAGTAGTAGTAGTAGTAGTAGTAGTAGTAGTAGTAGTAGTATAGTACTTGCAGTAGTAGTCGTGGTAGTGG